TGTAGCAATGAAGTATTGCAGAGACAAATTCTTTAGGAAATGAGTTCTAACGTAGCTGTACAGTAACAGTTTGAATTACCGACATTACTCGTTGCCACATCATTTAAAGTGCGACTGTCCAACCAGGAGGTTCCGACATCGATGCTAGGGTAATTTTTTGAGGGGGAAAATCATCCAATGTCTTCTCCCGCCTGGGTGAGGCACGAGAAAGTGTCAGACTCTTCCTGACTAAAAACCACCCCGTTCCTACTTCTGTATTTCGAGCCGGAGCCCCGGCAATCCGTTAAGTCTTCCGTTATCTGCTCCGTTTCGGCATCAATCCTACTGGACCCAATCAGTGGTCTGATGTCTCTTTGAGGGGCGCGCGGAACGCAATTTATGCTAGGTCTAACAAATTATAAATTAGATATTAAAACATTTGATAATATAGCTGACCTCTGAAGGTTTGACGATTAACGAGACATTGGCCATAAGTGACATAAATGACTGCCTCGTTAGCCGAGTGGTCGCAATTGTGACTGCCGGGCAAGGGGTCTCGGGTTCGATTCCCGGGTCGGGCAAAATATTACTGGGTTTTTTTTTTTTTAAATCTCAGTAGTAGCACGGAGTCTGGAATTGTGCCCGGTATATGGCAATAGGCTCACCCTCTATTACATGCGACTATTATCATAAATAGTGAAAAGTGGGTGTTACTTCTGTGTGCACCTCTGCCTACTCCTTCGGGGATAAAAGGCGTGATGTTATGTTGTGTTATGTATGGCCATAGGTGCCATAACTGTAATATTTTGACTTTGAATTTTGAAATCTTTTAGATAAGAAACTCGACCATGAAGGCAGTCGAATATACAAAGTATTTTGTTAATTAATACAGCCATAATACGATAACTTTGGTCGAAATTTAATTATATTTTATGTGCCCACTAAAGATTACTTTACTACCGAGATTTTACTACACTTTTACTATGCTATGCTACAATTAAGGATATCTTGTTAAGTGTGAGTGAGATAGAGATATTTGTGGTTCTGTATGATGCTGTATTTCTATGGATATCAGTTAGTCAATTTATTGTTGGATTTTTGACTTTATTCCGAGACAATAAAGTTGGAAATCTATTAGAAGATTTTGACAGACAGATAATAGGTTTACTTGCTGGTGTCTGTGCCTAATATTAGACTGAACTTATTTTAAAGGTAGTGAATGTGACAACTGTTTACGAGTTCGCACCCCAAATACAATAAGGATAATATCTAAAATTAAAATTCGTTGTCAAACAATATTAGCACTGTAATAAATCAGTTGATTAACCCGTCGTGTGTCTAAGACGTGGATCCACGCGAGATACAGTGTATTTCTATTGTGTCTCATATCACTGCATTCAAACGGTTAAGTATGACTATGACTAAAACATAGACTTTCGACTAAAAAATAGCACAAACTGAATGGAACTAAATTTAAAAGTTGATTCATTCTCGAATCTCGATGAGAAGCAAGTACATAACATAACATCACGCCTTTTTATTCCCGAAGGGGTAGGCAGAGGTGCACATTACGGCACTTAATGCCACTCTACAATGTAACACCCACTTTTCACTATTTATGTTACGAGTCCCATATAAAAGGTGGTGAGCCTATTCCCATATACCGGGCACATTTCCAGACTCCGTGCTACCACTGAGATTTTTAAAAACCCAGTAATACTTTGCCCGACCCGGGAATCGAACCCGAGACTCCTTGTCCGGCAGTCGCACTTGCGACCAATCGGCCAACGAGGCATAAGCAAGTATTGCACCTACATTTCTCTTCAGTACAGGAAAAACGGCTTCAATACTTAAGCAACAAGTATTACATAGCCAAGAAGAAGCTGTTGCCATCTTGTCACAAGCAACTGAACCATTTTACTTGTTCAGTTGATTAGTCATGGTCATTTCTCAGTTTCTGCTGAAACATACACTGGCAAGCTATGACAATGCAATGACGAGAGAGGAGTGATGAGATTTCGCAGGTTCTTACTCCATGTTGAGTGAGTTTTTGGCAATCTTTTGAGGATGTTGTTCGGGTAACAACGTAGGAAATATAGTTTTATAGATATCGTCTTTTTCATTGCATAATTTTAAGTTGATTTGCAATAAGGATGTCTTGTGACTAATAAGAATAACATGTTTGAACATTGTTTACTTAATTATTTTATTCAGATAATTTTTACCGACTTCAAAAAAAGGAGGAGGTACTATGTTCAGCTGATTGTTTTTTTTTTTGTTTGTTCGCGCAGTACTCCGCCATTTGTGAACCGATTTCCAAAATTACTGTTTTGTTTGAAAGGGTATACTCCCGAGATGGTCCCATTTCCATGAGGTCAGGATCTGATGATAGGATCCTAGGGAAACCGAGGGGAACTTTCGAAAATTCTATGGGCGAGTAATGCGTCTATTATATTTTTCATTTAGGATTTTGAAACACTACAATTTGATAAGGGTCTGGAGTTGACCTGATGATGGAGCCGACAGGCAGTCGAGGGAACTCCTCAGCGGTTTATATTAACTACCTTGAGTTTGGGCTTGATTAATTTGGATTGATTAGAACTTTGCACCTATGTAGATTATAAGTAACAAAACGGGTATAATTATGTAGCTTTACACTAAAAATGATAAAATAATAAAATAAAAACTGCGTTTAAAAAACCGACTTCAAAAAACCAAAAACTAATAGCAAACAAAAAGTCAAAACTAAAAAGCAAAAAATAACTACTATAAATTATGACTACTATAAATTATTTAAAATCTGTAAAGTATTACCGGTCAGACTTAAACATAAATACATTCTCGCAACCAATAACCACAGCAAGCAGGAACATAATCCACCATTGATAACAGTTGGTAATAAACACAACACCCGATCGATGTCGTCTGGTAAATATGAGGTAC